GGTTTCGGAGGGGGGTTGTGGCTAGTGTTTAAATTACCCACTGAAGTATAAATCCCATGTAACCCTATTGCAGCACACCTAAGATTACCCTGAACACTAAAACTGCATGTTCTTATGCTGATATCGGCCAATACTGTATAAGAGTCTGTATCTTAACTGTTCCATTGGTTTGTTCTCAGGGTGTGCAACATTTAAAAATGCTACAGAGGCTGATCCTCTACTATAACTGCATACCTTCTCTTGAAGAAGTGAAAGTACTGTTTAAGCTGCCATTGTTAAAAGAGTTGGACCTCAGGCTCAACCCTCTCGTCAAAAATAATCCACAGTACCGCCTTTACTTGGTGCATGCCATGCCCACCCTGCGCAAGCTAGGTAAGATGTTGTTTTGTTGCCCAGAATTTGCTCATCCCATATCAGGTTTTAAAATAATAAGTTCTCCTCGTTGATTTACAGATAGCTGTTCAGTCAGAGATGCTGAGCGTAAATCTGCCTTGATGCAGTTCTCTTCTGAACTTCTTCCTCAGCAGATGAGCTTCTCTTTGAATCTGATTGATGATCGAAGGTATGCTGAACACAAAATCCTTAATGTAAATTCTGTTTGATGAAAGTGTCAAATAAAGATCTGATACCAGATTTATAAGTAATATATTTTTGAAAATACTGTTTTTCTCTTATACACTCATGGACACTTTATTAGTTACACCTTACCAGTATTGATTTGGACCCCTTTTGCCTTCAAACCTGCCTTAATTCTTCATGGCATAGATTAATCGAGGTGCTGGAAACATTCTTCAGAGATTTTGGGACATATTACACGATAACATCACACAGCTGCTGCAGATTTGTCAGCTCCACATCCATGATGTGACTCTTCATTTCCACCGCATCCCACAAATGTTGTATTGGATTGAGATCTGGTGGTTGTGGAGGCCATTTCAATACAGTGAAGTCACTGTCACGACCAGATTGAGATTATTTGAGTTTTTTTGAGCATGAACCATAAATCCAGTGAGTTGCGGCCATGGTAACAGCTGATTCGATATTTACATTAACAAGCAGTTGAAAAGGTGTACCTAATACAGTGTCCATTGAGTGTATGCTGTTGTTCATAAAACAAGAATTTCTTCAGACCAGCAGCACAGGCAGCTACTGAGAAATGATAGTAAGGAGATTAAGTAAGGCTTGAGAAAACATTGCTATAAAGTGATCCTTTTCATTTTTAATGATGAGGTTTTGTGGATACATATGTTGAATTGGCAGAAAAAAAGAAACAGAAATGTGTGCCCACATTGACAGTTTTACGAATCAGAATCATAAGTAGATTTAAAAAATTTGTTGCAGTTTTCTTCGGGCTGGTGGAGCACATGAAAATGCACCGAGATGAGTCTTCTCAACCTCAGTTGCTCGAGCGGTACCATTTGCTGTGTCATTTGTGGTTTTTCAGAAGCAGTGATCGCAGACCAGCTTTAACTGACCACTTAACCAAGAGCCTTTCTGTCCTGACCGACACTCGTGATATTGAGCTGAACTTTGTTGCCACAAATGATGGAGAGCAAAGTGAAGCTGTCTCTGACTCATTTCACAAGGAGGCCGATGGTAAGATGTCAAACTCCAAAAATCAAAATCAAACCTGACTAATTCATGTTTCTTTGTTTTAATTTCTGATAAATCCAAACCATCCACTGTTTCAGGTTTCAAAGAGAAAGTTTCTGAAGATTTTAGAGAACAGAGGAGCTCAACTCCCAAACAGGTGCTTTTATTGTTACTACAGATTAAACAACATTAACAGTATAAAAGTTCATTATGAAGTAGCTCTGTTCTTATTTTTAGGAAACTGCTAAATCCATCCTCAGGTATCCACTCACTAAAACTGGTAAGCCTATTTTTCTAGTTTAGGAGAGTGCAGTTTCTTTCTATGTCAGTATCTTATTAGAATTGAGATTGCAGAAGAATTATTATGAGAATAAAGCTTTCTTTGAAGGTAAGAAATCATTATCAGTAAGCAATTATGAAAACAACGTTGTGGTTATAAAAATGTAAGTGTGAACATTATTAAGAGCATGATGAAAACAAGACAGTTCACTAAGAGGCCACTAAGTCACAGTATGTTTGTCCAGTGCAATTTCCTCAGTTGATGACAGTGTGTATAATCACCACTAGGTGGCGACATAAGTCTTTTCCTGTGGGTTTTTTTTAACACAACGTGCTTGTCAAAGGTCGATTAATATCACTGGGATTTTTTTTTATGTGTGTGTGCCACATGTAACTCGTCAGATAACAGTGAGTCCAAAGGGTCACAGATGAAAGATCTGTCTCATCAAAAAAGCTGCACCTCAATAAAAGTGCCTGAAAGACCAAAAGTGTCCTTTGGCCCCTACATAGAGCAACGTAGACCTGCTCATGGAAACCCAAAGCAAAAGGAGCCTCCCAAACAAACCAGACATCCAGCTAAAGGGCATTTTACCCCAAATCCAGGTAGGAAATAAATTTGTGTTTAACAAAATCCCTGAGTTATGATTTCTTTATTCATTCCACATTTTTTAATTTTTCCCAGATGAAAGCCTCCGTCACAGTTCCTCATTTATTAATATCCGGCCTCCCAGTCCACGACGTCCTGGTTTGAATCTGTCTGACCCTTTTAACCCCATCTTGCATCCTCCACGACTAACCTACTCCAGCTTCAACAAAACAGACGGGAGCTCCAGCCAGCCTGTGCAAGCTGAGAAGAAAAAAAAGGTTGGCAGCTATTTTGGTCCTCTTACTGATTTGCAAATGACATCGTGAATCATTCCTCATTCATCTACAGGGTTTTCCTTTGCACATCTATTCATGGAATCTCTGAACTCTCTTCCCAGGGTAGTTATAGGAAACCCCTGGAGATGCTCCTCAACCTCGTGGACAAACACTGGACAGGGGAGAGGTCACTGCATCAAAACAACAACTTCCTGTGTAAGTTTGGACTTTTGGTTTGGAGGAATGCGCTATCTGATTACAGAAGCCTGAGATAACGAATGTCTTCCTATCATCTCTATTTTGGCCTCAGCTCAGGCAGTCCAGATCCTCTCCATGATGGAAAGCGATATTTCCAGTCGGGAAACTGAGGTCAGGACCTTACGCCGGGAAGCTGATGCGCTTCGCTTTCAAGCGGCAGCACGAGAGGAAGAGCACAAAACTGAAGTGCACAACCTCTCCGCTCAGCTGGAGGAAGCTCGGAGAGCGGTGGTGAGTTGATCCACCGCTCAAACACAACACCAAGCTTTAGAGAACCATAAGAGTAAACTTTATTCACAGTGTTCACTCTAACACAGGGCAAACTGAACGAGCAGCTGAGGGTCGTTTTAGAGGAAAACGTTGCTCTGCAGAAGCAGCTCATCAAGTTAGAACGCCAATATCTGAAGTCTATGATGAAAAGCTCACATGTGTCTCAGATCAGAGGTGGGTGTACTTGCCACTGTGACATAAGCGAACGTGCTGCTTTCCCTACTAAGTGTCCCAGTTTGTGTTTAGAAGCTCAGGCCGAAGTAGAGGAACTGAAGAAAGAGATCGAGGGGCTGAGGAAGAAAGTGCAGGAAGCTGAGAAAGTCAAAGAACTTTCAGATATGCTGCAAGAAAGCCACAGGTAAGAAGATAGTGCTGACAGTTGATTTTGTTGTACCTACATGCTCAGTGTGAGTAAACTGATGTAATCTCAATCTCAACTCACCCCCTTGTTGGCTGGTTTTATGATTTAAATGTGCCTGTGTTTGTGTTCTGCAGGTCTCTGGTGGCTACAAATGAATGCTTGTTAGCAGAGCTGAAGGGAAGTGGGGAACATTAATGCAGAATTTGAACAAAGAGATGCACGCCAGGATAAAAATATCAAAGCAGGACTATGCCGACCGTCATATTAGCATGTGCCAACAAATATAAACTGCTTAAATTATTTTATTTTTAAAATTACTGCAGATTGCTGCAAAATTGTAGTAAGTGCTATACCTTTTTTATAAATGTTTCTATTATTTAAAATATGTGCATAAGCTGCATTTACTCGATGTAAACAGTAACGGGGAAAGGCCATTCATTCAGGAAGCTTTGTGTATGAGTGTGTGACAGGGCTGTTATATTAACAAATGATTTTCTGGGGGGGTGTTAGTGAAAAGGTCATAATGCATTTCCTGGATCTGTGGCGGGATCGTCTCTGTTTTGGCTCCTTTTTTAGTTTTTTTTTCTGTTTGTAGGTCAGTCTCCATCTGCTTTGCACGCCGCAGTGGAATGAATGCATCTAGATTCCAGCTGCACTGTGACTTTATTTATACCTCTGCCTTCGGGCTGGAGAGATGCGCAGGCAGACATGCACTTTCCTCTCGCTAACACTAAATCAAGCCCTGGCAAACCAGGTTAGAGGTTTGGATGCTACACAAACTGAATGTCTTCTTTTTCTTTTTATATGAATGTTACAGATCGCTGGTTGGTACTACTTGCAGGGAGTAAACTCCAAAAAAAAGAAAGCAAGAACATAACTACTGTTTCAACAGACACTCCAAAACCTACTCAGCAGAGGTTCCAGGGTGTGCGTGCATGTTTTCTTTTCTTTTTTTTTAATTTTCAATAATGCACTACAAATCATGAACACACTTTAAGAGATCTAAAGAACAAGAACAAAAAAAAAACAAACAGAAAACACACTGCATGCACTGGGGCATAATAGTACATTACAAGTTATTTGAAGGAAAAAAAGACAATATTGTTTCTCCACATTAAAAGGTGCACAGTATTTGGCATTAAGCACAGAAAACAGATCATACTCAAGCTACAAAAACACACTGATAGCTGCTAGTTTTGCACTTGATGCATGAGTCTTCATCAGCTGAGGCTACAAGTAGTGTGTGACATGAATCTGTCATTCTGCTGGAAAAATATTCTACAAAAGTATAACACTCGTTTGCAATTTTCCCTTTTTCTGATACAGTGTGTAAGGAAACATTAAAATCCCTGCGTTTGTTTGTTTTTTCTTCAGTTAAATCTGTGCCTTGGATGA